TGTTGAAAGGTTTGGGTGAGTACTTTGTCTTCTGGTAAAGATTCAACAAAGTTTGACATATTGTCCCAAAGGAAATGGTGATATGCACCCATGGCTCCCTTGTAGTTAGCGATATGCATGGTGAACACTGCTGATGAATAAAGCCATCTTCCCATTGAGTTGATCCTTCTACTGTCTTGATTTGATGGCATGAGGGTTTGTCAATGTCGAGATCTGGATTGAGAGGCTTCAACAAAAATAGAGTTTGGAGCCAGTTGTTTTTGAAGAAATAGAGCTCCAGGATCGTGAACTCCATAGAGGTTATCGATTTGTTTACACATGGTATGGGAAGAAGCTGGTTTTATCCTGGATTGTTGAGGGGTGCTGAGTAGAGGCAGAAGCATCGAGATGTGTACTGGAGTAGTTATATCTTTAGAGACTGGGTCGTATAGATGATCAGCCAGTTCTGTCGAAGGATGGTGGATTTGGAGACTGTGAGACCTAGCCATATGGATCATAAGTTGGGTATAAATTTGGAAGTCTTTCGCCGGTGATGGTGCATTGGCATTGACGAGGTCAGATTCCAATGAGGTAAGTAATAGTGATGACATCTGAGGTCTGGATCCGTGATCAGAATAATCAGGATTGTGTTGGAAGTTGACGGATTGTCGATCGACTTTGGTTTCGATAGTTTGAGTGTCATAGTATTGATGTTTGTGGCTCAATGTTGATGGAGGTGGCATGTCCATGAGCATTTGTTGGTGTTGAGGATTTTTGATATTGAGAGATGTCATCCAAGTGTCCATGGATGTCATTTGATATGGTTGAATGTTGGTGTCGAACTCAGGGTCATAGTGATGTCGCGTTCAATGGCTTGGTTCTATCGGGCAATGGTGTGTCAATAAAGGGACAGAACGAGTGTCCATGGACCACGATGAATATTGAAGATCATTGATATCAGAGCCTGTGTCTCAGTGATGTCGAAACAGAGGTTGCTGACGAGCTGGTAAAGCAGTGGAGTATATAGACGCTGGAGATGCTGAGCGAGAATGATTTCCCTCACCTAGATTAGCGGGAAAATATCAAGAGGCTGGAGCTGTAAAAGCCCCACGTGTAGAAGAAAATTGCTCGACCATCCTGGGTCTTTTAGGTGCCAGGGAGGGAGCAGGTTGGAGTTGATATGGGTCACGGTGATATGACCATTTAGACACTAATAGCTGTCGAGATCGAGGCCCACCATGAGAAGGTATGTCCGAGCTGGATAGAGCAACTGGCTGATTGGTGTTGAGATTTGTCCGGTCAAGCATTGGTCAGGCAAATGGCAACCCAGTGAGAGTGCTGAACGCAGGTCTGAGCCATGCATGATGAAACAGACGGCTCCAGGCACTGTTGGAGTTGATGTCTCTGAGGCGTTTGTGGTGAATGATCAGATGTTACCAAATAAGGTATGGTCTCTAGTTGTTGTTCGGAGTCAACCCTGTCAGGTGAAGCAACCACAGAAGGGTTGCTCGAAAAAACAGAGTGTTGAGGATTGGGAGAAGAAGATGCTAATCGATTGACTCTGTCATCCCATTCCGTTGACTGGGAGCAGGGTTGATGAAATTGGATTCCGTCATCGTCAGAAGGCGAACCAACAAATTTGGCAGTTTGTTGAGGCTGCTGAGAAATGACTGCAGCGATTTATGCTGTTTAGGTCTTTAAGGCGGAGAAGGCTCCGGAACCGAAGAGGCTTCGGTGGACATTTGGCATTTAGTGGAGGGCTTCGATATTTAGGATTTCGGTATCGAGCACCTCAATTTATGGATTTTTGAAGTTTTAGATGAAGTGGATGAAGGGTCAGAGTGGGATGGTGTGGTCTGTGGATGCTGTTTTGAGGCTTCAGAGAAAGCCTTCTCTGTTGCTTTGGTTTGTGAGGTGGCCTTACAAGGAGGTTGGGCCATTTTGGTTGGTTGAAGGGATTGTTCCCAAGGACAGAGTTTTAATCTGGATAAGTGAGAACGGAGGACTCAGTGCTTGAAGTTCCTACAATGCTGGCAGGACGACGTCTGGTGTGGCTCTCCCAAGCAAAAAAGATACTTGGCATGGGCATTGGAGAGTGGCATTTTGCTATCACAGACCACGCAGTGTTTAAACGAGCCCAAAGGAGACATGAATAGAAAATAATTTGAAGAGAAAAAACAATGATTGGGGGGGTATTGCGGCCAGAGGCCGAGCAAAGTGGAAAAGAAAAAAATCTCTAATGATAATGAATTTGATCTTAAAGTTTAAATGAAAAAGATGTAACGGGAAGGAATCAAGAATAAACTCTCTTTTTCTTTTATTCACAGAAGCAGAACTATGAGGCTCTCAATGCGGTGGTTGAAAGAAACTGAAACGGGAGCCTTGGTGCCAAGGTACTTATACAAGGGAGAGGGGCCTTATTCTAATGTGTTTTTTGCTACCACAGAAGCTTTAGAACTTTACAATGAGGCTCCATGCAGGTGCGGATCATCCAGAGTGTGATTCACAGAGGCCACGAAGAACAATAACTATTATCTGCTGCTCCCACCTACTTGAATGTCATCGGCTTGACCTATTCCTGACCTCCACAAGCAGACAATAGGTGCCCTGTAGCTCAGTACTTGAAGGACCAATCATTCAAGAATGCTCAGGCAACATGCCGCAGACTCATTGCTCTAAAGGAAAAATGAAGCCTGACTGTCAGTCAAGTTCCTCAGCAAAAGTGTTATCCATCAGATCATAATGAAGCATGGACACAGTAGTGGGTACCCACTATGGTATCATGGAGTAACATGATGCATTGTTGGCAAGACAGAGGCAGATGTATATGCCTCTTGGCCAAAAGTCATAGGTGTGTCCTCGTTGCAAGGAGCTCCAAGAACTCAGAGGATGGGTTTGCTCCCTTTAAGTCTTGGTTGCGGACCGGGAGAAGCAGAGACAGGGAGGGATCACAGTGAGACCTTCATCCCACACACACAGACAAGCAGCTCCTCAGTTGCTGGGATGGGAAGTCTCTGGGCTGGAGGATGCCAATCTGGACAAGAGGGAAACCATTCCCTAGAGGGGATCTCTTATACGGGTGATGGGCCTGTATCTGGTTGCACTGAGGATACTCCTTCTGGGGAGGGCGGGAAGGGAGCTTCTGGTAATGGGCAATTCAGGAACATAGAGCAATGGGTTTGTGAATGTTGTGACGACAGCACAGTGACTTGCCTGCCTGGTGCAAAGGTTGCGGACAACACGTCTCATCTGAATAGGCTGGTAAAGGGTGCTGGGGGATGAGGTTTCCTCATCAGATGAGGAAATTAGTATATGTCTACACCAACAAGCTCCTGGATGCTAATTTGGCTCCTGGAAGTCAAATCCTAGAGGAGGAAACTCAAAGCCAGGACTTCAAAGGTAGCGTTCTCACAGTACTACCTGTTCCACACACAGGGCCAGCTAGGCAGGTGGAGCTCAGAGGTCTCAACACGTGGATGAGACAGTGGTGTCAGGGGGAGGGATTTAGATTCATTAGGCACTGGGGAACATTTTGCAATAAGCCTAGCCTGTGCAAGAGGGATGGGCTTCACTTGAACGAACACGGAACCAGACTGCTGGTGCGTAACATTAAAAAGGTGACAGGGCAGCTTTTAAACTAAATCCCAGGGGAAAGCTGACAGGACCCGAATGGTGTTCGGTTTGGGACTCATCCCTGTGGAATGAGGATGGACAGGGTAGAGAACCACAAAGTGATGACAGTGTAGGAATCAAGACTGGGAGCATGAAGGGAAGTGATAGTTGGTCCACTGGAATGAAAAGCTATGGGGGAAAAAAGAAACAAACAAGCAGCCCTTCTTGCGGGATCCCATACACAGGTGCTTTTAGGCAAATGCCTGAAGCATTTGAGCAAAGATGGGAGAGTGGGAACATTTGGTAGCTAGGGACAACACTGATAAAGTGGCCATAGCGGAAACCTGGTGAAATTTTGAGAACCAGTGGGATACTGCAGTCCCAGGCTATAAACTCTATGGAGGGGAGGTTGGAGGTGGGGTGGCCAACTATGTCAAAGAATGGGTAGAATCCAGCAGAATGGAGATGAACAGTGGGTCTGACTCCATCATAGAATCGCTGTGGGTTTAACTTCCAGGCCCAAGGAGCAATATGATAGTGTAGGGGTGGGAGTGCTATCATTCTGTAAATTAAAAACTTGAGGAGATATGAAATGAGGAGATAATTCAGGGAGGTGTCCAAGAGGGACAGTATTGTAATCATGGGGGACTTCAATTATCCTCAACAACTGGTTCAATGCGTGCTTGGGTCAAGAAAGAGACCAGGTTTCTTCACATGCTAAATGACTGTGCCTTGGAGCAAAAGTCATGGAGCCCACCAAACTTAAAAGGAAGGTACTTCAAAATGCCAGATGCTGGGGACAGGTATCTAATTGTCTCATGTGCTCCCAGAGGCACCTGGTGGGGCCATTGAGAGATACAGGAAGCTGGACTAGATGGGCCGTTGGCCTGATCCAGCAGGGCTCTTCTTAGGTTCTTATGATGGTTTGACAACTCTCTGTAAAATCAGCCTACTAGGTGTGGCTGCTGTGGCAAAGGAGAATGCAAGACTACCACTGAAACTCTGTCTAGAAGGTTGCAAACAGCTAGGTATGCACAGGCAACCAGTACCTGTGACCAAACAGAGATCATGGAGAAGAAATGTATGTCACTAGACTATCAGAACTTAGATCTTGCATATTCAATCACAGTATTTTTCTGGCACTGGAATCAAGCTGAAGATTGGAATCCACTGGCATGACTATAGCTGAAGTGTTCATCCCAGAAACAAAGCAATACTGGCATAGTAAACTTGTTTATCACTGAACAGTACTTTAGTTGCCAAATAATAACATTTAACTTTAATAATGAAAAAGGGCAGTATTTCTGTTATTGCAATAGAAAGCTTTTTCACAGGACTGACATGCACAATATAACAACACAGCTGGGTTAAGGTGGGAAGGAGGGAGAGAGAGAGCTAAACGTACTTACTGCATAAATGCCTCCATTGTGTGCTTTATCTCCACCTAGAGCACCAATTTTCTCTCCTGTTTTGCCATCATAAATAAAAATCTTTTTGAAACCAAAAGAGAAACATCTGTTAGCTGAAAGTTTCTTGCAGCACTTAGCTATTGTATGACTGTAAAAATACTTCTAACATTTCAGTATGCAGGAAGTAAACCAAATTTGTACATATAAAATCAAATCAAGATTTTCGGATAATATGCAAAAATCATCTAAGCTATTTAATAAAAAGTAATTTTACCTAAGAACTCAAAGATCTGAATTACAGGAAGATTTTGAGTTCGCATTTCCTTTTCCAATCAAAACTGCTACTTTTTCACTTGTGTTAAGGCAGTCACTGTCAGACCTGATCCCTTAACATATAAGAGTAGTTGTGAACTAACAAGACCAATATTAACACTTGGCATTGTGTGGCAGAATTTGAGCACTATGACAAAGCACACCAATCATTTATTTTATTTTGGTATCAAATTTGCTTCTTGAGAAATGGGTTTCTGTGAATGATTCCATTCACCACATTGCCATTTTGTATATGGACAAGCCCCCAACCTCACAGCATCATTTTCTAAGAGAACCTGTATCACGCTTTAAAAATGCCCAATGGGATCATCAGCTCAAAAAAGGTTCGGAATCCCTCAACTGACACGAAAGGAAATTTCTCGAATTATCAAGCTGCCTTTTGAGACTTGTCTATTAAACCCAGTATTCTGTTTTTTGGCAGATGGCAACTCTCTCAGATAGACATTTTTCCTAGCCATGCTAGCTGAAATCAATTAAAATTAACTGAGTGAGGACAGCAGGGATCTGGATCTGTGACACTAGAAAAACCCCTAACCTCCATCAGAGAGCTACACAATGTCTTCCCTTCTTTCCCTTGCTTACACCTGATCAATAAGAAATGACTAATTTTTACCTGGCCATCCGCACTGGCTGTAGCAAGCCTATTTCCATCAGGAGAAAACCTCACACAGTTAACAAAACGGCTGTGGCCCTACAGAAAAAAAAGCATCAGATCTTCAAAGGTTTCGTCCACTTAATTCTGCTTTGCTAATTGCTTTTTGTGCAAGAAGCTCCAATTGTTCAGGCTTCATCCATCGATGCCAAAAACTCCAAACACAGGATGCCCTTTTGAAGAATGACTATTGGCATTGCATGACAGGGTCATAATTAGAAGGCATGAAAAGCAATAATGTACTATTACCTAGTTGGACTGGAAAGCAATACAGTGGACCCTCAACTTATGGAATTAACCTGTATTGGAACAGTGGCCGCGGGTCGAAAAGTCCATAGGTTGAGGGTCCATTTCCCATAAGAATGCGTTGAAAACCCATTAAGAAAGAAATACCTCTCCACAAAAAATGAAAATAAACACCTTACCAGTCTGAAGCCTTCCAGGGGTCCCCCGCTGCCATCGCCGCTGCCTGAGGCCTCCAAGGGCTTCCCCGCCACTGCCAGAGGCCTCTCGGAGGTCCCCTGCCCCCGTCAACGCAGGCTTTCCAAGGGTGGACCAGACCTACCAGGGGAGGGCTTCCCCTGGTAGACACAGTCTGCTGCCGGGGAAAGCCTGGTAGACCAGGGGAAGCCCTCCCCTGGTAGGCCCGGTCTACCAGGCTTCCCTGAGCAGTAGACCAGCCTACCAGGAGATGCCCTCTCCTGGAAGGCCCGGTCCACCCTGGAAAGCCAGCGTGGCAGCAGGGCGGACCTCCGCGATGCCTCCCGTGGCGGCGAAGCCCTGGAAGGCATCTCGAACGCCCCTCCCCCCAGTCGATCATGCCTCCGAAGCAATGGGATCATCCTCAATTGGGGGGGTCCGAGATGTCTCCAGTGGTGGCGGAGAAGTCCTGGAGGCACGATCGGCGCCCTACGGACCAGAGGGAGGAGGTAGGGAAAGTGCCAAATTTGGATTTGGCACTTTTCCCGCCTCCCCCTTCCGGTCCATAGGTCGATTTTCCAGCCGGAAATCGATGGGAAATTTTGCGGCCGGAGAAGTCCGTAACTCAAAAAGTATGCACATCCAGCTGTGCGTAAGTCGAGGGTCCACTGTACAGGAAATGGGGTCTAAGAGTATCATTCCACACAGATATTATCTGTGACAATATGATTGATTATTCCCCTACATAAACATGTTCTTTGCAGGATAACCACCATCTGCCAAGCAATTACATGCACACCATGTTACGTGTACAGTATCCATTTCCATCCCAAACAGAAATTATTTGCTGTAATCTCTATACAGAGGTGCTATTTATCTCTGTACATGTGCTAATCTGCAGTGCTTCATTAACTTCTTTTGCTAAAATAGGTGGTTTTTTTCACTAGGTTTGTTTGAATGAATAAATAAATAAACAAATAAACAAACCTACTGAAAAAAGGTATTTTAGAAAAAGAAGTTAATGAAGCACTGCAGATTAGTACATGTACAGAGATAAACTGCATAGAGATTACAGCAAATAATTTCATTCAATCAATTGCTACACCGGCTGTCTAGCAAATTACTCTGGGAAGTATACAGCAAGTAAAGCAAAAACATAAAAATCATAAAAACATATTCTAAAATACAAAGAACAGAAAAACTAAAAAAGACAGATGGCAAGAAACTGTCAGGTGGCAAAGAAGAACTCTTCCACCTCCACATACTTAATCGAGGAGAAATTCCTCAAAGGCTTCCTTGAAAAGCTCTGTTTTTAGTTGCTTTTTAAATGCATGGAGGGAGAGCATCTGGTGTAACTCCTGTGGCAGTGCATTGCGTAAGAATGGTGCCACAACAGAGAACGCCCAACTTCTGGCCACTTGAAGTGTTAATATTTGTAGGCACATGGTCTCTGAGGACCTGGTCAGGTAGTCAAACATGGTAAGAGACGTTCTGACCGGTAACCAGATCCAAAGTCATTCAGGGCTTTATAAGTTAGAACCTTAAACCTGGCATGGAAGAGGACTGGTAACCAATGCAGACTAGCCAGGATTCAGGTGATATGTTCATATTTCTTCTCCCTGGCAATCAATATGGCTCCTGCATTTTGGACCTCCTGAAGTTTCTGTGACAAGAGAAGTCCTATGCAGAGTACATTACAGTAATCAACAGACACAGTGAAGACCTGCTTTTCCATGGTCAGCATTGGTTCTAAAACAACATGAACATTGAATGGGAGAGTAAATCCATCAAGTCTGGGGGAAATACACACACCAGACAAGGAGATGGGCCCGCACACAAGCAACATGACCTCCATCTGGTCTGGATTCAGTTTCAGTCTGTTCCTCCTAGTCCAATCCAGTACTGCTGCCAAGCACTGCTCTAGGTGTTGGATGGCATCCACTGCAGGTGATTTAATGGAGATACAGACCTGCATATTCTGATGACACAAAGCTCAAAATTTGGTGACCCAGCGGATTTATATAGATGCTTTAAGATGATCAACACTTGTGGGACTGCAGTTGAAGATCCATGTGGTCAAAACACTCTCCCCTAGCTGCACTCTTGGGAGTTGGCCACCAAAGAAGGGCTTGGGCCAGCTTAACACAAGTCCGCTAATACCTAGTCCCAAAAGTCTATCCAGGAAGATACTGTGTTTGATGGTATCAGAAGCAGCTGAGAGATCAAGGAAGGCCAGAAGGGTCAGTTGGCCTCTCTTAAAAAGTCGCACAATAGCACGACCAGTGCCATCTCTGCACCATGCTGGGGCTGGAACCCAGATTAGAACATATTTAAGGAATCAGAATCCTCCAGGAACACCTGCATCTGGTCTGTCACTTTATCAACATGCCAGTGAATTGAATATTTGTGGTAGGCCTGACATTATTCAGATTGTCTGTTGCTAGATTAACCTTTTTCAGAATGGGATAAAAGACTATTTTAAGTAGGAGGGTAAACCCCTTTGTGCAATGAAGTGTTGATGACATGAAAGGCCCATTCTGCATTCTGTTTCCAATAGGCATGATGGACAAGGATCAAGAGAGAAGGTGGTGGGCCAACAATGAGTAACACCTCCTCAGGTGTTACTGGCTGAAACTGATTCAATAAAACAGGACAAGGTGGCATCCTGGATGTCTCAGCCTGACCTGCTGAACATTAAAGGGGTCCAGATCTCAATCTTTTGTCTAAAAGGAGTCACAAACTGATTACAGCTGATGTCCGTCGACTGAAGCCAATTTGGATGTCCAAACTCAATGAGGCCATGAACCACATGATAGATTTCTAGCAGTTGATTGGAGATTGGACATCTCATTGATTCGATTGATGTTAAATGCCCTTTTTGCAACTTTAATTGCCGTGGCGAATTTCTTGGACGTTTTTCCTACTGTGGCTAAATTCTCCACTGAAGGGCTCTGTCTCTAAATGCACTCTAGAAATACCACTGTGTTGCAAAAGTGGTAGCTTCTCCCAAAAATGCTGATATAACATTTCCAATCTAAAGTTAAAGCAAATTTATAAAAGCAGCTGCATCAGCTTGGTCCTCTGCAATGAGGCATCAAAACAGCATCTGGGTCTACTTACATCTACACGTAAACATGGCCTTATAGCTCATCAACTCATCTTATCATGACCTCTACCATACAGAATTCACAAAGGTCTGGTTATACAGGTACACTCTGCTTCCCCACTATATATAGGCTATAAACGTAGTAAAGCACACTTTTTGGTAAAGAAAAATTTCAATATAATTTGAATTTCAAATACACAGAGAAAGTGAGTAATGTGTGTGTGTGTAACACTGCATGTGCCAGACCTCTGAAAAGCTGTATTCTGCTGGACTCTTATGAGATACACTGAGAAATAAATCTAGGAAATCCTGTAATCGACTCCCCTTCATGTAAAAGAGCACTCAAATAATTAAGGCAGGAAGGCTGGACCCAATGTCCATACAATTTATATGGATATTAGCATAGAAGTGGAAAAGCCTGTGCGAATAAACCCTCACATTCATAGGCCTTCCTAGAACTTCAAAGCCTGATTATACAAATTTCTAGGTCACAAGGAAGTCTATAAATCTAGGAACTCACACACATAAGCATTCCCCTTTATAAATGTTCATGTCTAATGCATACATAGGCATCATAGCCAAATAACTTTATATGTGAGCCTACAGTGCAACCTCATTGGCCCCAATCATGAAAGCCCTTCACTGTAAGTAATGCATGACTGATGAAGACTAATGGTACTGTTTTTGAAGATGGAACATCTGTTGCCCTGGACAAATGAAGCAGACTACTTTTTAAGTCTTTAGTTTTGTTTTGTTAGACAGGAGCTAAAGCTGCTGAAATTTTGAGCACTTCATGACAACTGCTTGCAGAAAACAAAAATCCTTAATGAATTCACTAGATGAAAAAAATACTGAACAACCTATCTCTTCCCTTATCCTGATCTTTCACCTTTTTGGAGGGAGGTGGCAATAGCACCTTGAAGTGAAAGAGCAGATTTTGTTTATGTGCATCTTCGCACATCTGGAAACACCACTCAACCGAAAGAGTGGCAAAAATTTGTCACTAAAGAAATGTAAAGCACAGCTCTGGGCTACACCATTGATGGAAAAATTAACATACTGGATCAAATGAATAAGAAATCATCAAGTCCATGGCTTACCATATGGTTTCTTTTTCCAAGTTTCATAAACAGGCATAACAATTTATATTTTCCACCATATGCTTGACTAACATCCTTTTTGTCTTAACCTTCTATTCTGATACAGATCAGTTACCACTTGATTTATCTCATATATATTCTTATTTGGTTACCTATTACTTAGTCATTTTATTTTGTCTGGCTGCATTTTATTTTATTTTAACCATTTTTTAAAACATTAATAGATACCCTGAGTTACCCATGTGCCTTTTGTACTTCATTTACCAACACTTATGTCATTCCCTCACCAAACCTTTTTGGTGGGATTCCTTTATTTGCTCTTTGTGACCTCCTAGGCGTGTCACAAAGTATCAAGTATCAAGATTTGATGCAGTTTTGCAAATGGACTGGTACTATGGATGGGGTTCAACATGGCACATGTTGATCTTACAGTTGTTCATGGGTGCCTTTCAGTTTCCCACTTTCAGTCCCAAGCCCTATACGACCTTTAGAAGTGCAAAGGACTCCCAATAGAAGCCAACATTTTCTCTGATCCAGTGCGTAAGAAGTGCTGTCAACATGTATACAGGAGATTTGGATCCTGGTAATAAAGCCTGCACACAGGTATCAAGGTATGCTAACTTACACTTATTGTAAACTTGAATTTGAATGGTGGCCCTTCAAAGAAAGCTGCACAGTTGTCATCGCTGCCAGTTGCTAGGCGATAGGGTCTGGTCTGTTTAATATCCACACTATTGATCACTTTATTATGACCACTGATCTCACCTACTGAAGAACCAGTATCCCATAGGAACACTGCTCCAAATCTAATGAGAAACAAATAATAAAAAAGAGAATACAGAGAAAACTATATAAAATATGAACATTTTGAACACAATCAACAGGCTGAATATATTTTACAATAAAAATCAGATCAGTTAATAACAAGCTATTGCAACACTGTTCCATGGCACTCAACTGCTTTCTCAATTATATGTAATTAATAGTTTATAAGCTATTATAGTTAATACCTCATAAACTGAAGAGATGAATAAACAACACTGTAATAATGGTATCAATCAACAACCTGAAGCTGCTTTTAAAAGTGATTGCTCCTCTCATTTCAAAACATATCTCATTGTACACAGACTTTAATTTAGCCAAACTTTTATTTAATTCTAAATAAGCAAATACCTCTTAAAATGAGGCATTCACAATGGAAAACTGAATTAATTGCATTTATATTGAAAAACAACTGTTTTATATTAAGTAATGGCTGAAACCCTGTTGCTTAGTGTAGTAATTTGCAACTCAAGAGGTCCACTGAATCAATGGAACTTATGGAGGAGCTTACACAGTTCAGGAAAAATCAGAAGGCCACATGGGGGAGCTATTTCATCAAATCCTTACTGATTCAAGGGGCCTACTCCAGTTGCAATTTGCTATGCTAAGCAACAGGATTTTAGTCACTGTTTTTGTTGCAAGTATTTTACTTCTTAAGGTTAACCCAAGTTCTTATGCAGAAAGACTTGCAGGGGAGAATAAATTAAAATATATAGCCAGCATTTTTAGAAATAAATTAGACCACACTCAAGAAGAGATGCAACTAATTGTTCTTCTTCATTGTTCTTTTTTCATTTCTGAATGTTTCTTATGGTTCAGGTTGAGTTTAACATGAGGTGGCAAATCTGAATAAAAACTTGAACAATTGAAATCAGATACATACCAGCCACAAATCCTATTTTATTTGACTATGTTCCTTTTAAAAAATCCAGCCCCCTTCTCAGCCTTTGAAAAATACTTTAGAAAGGCAATGTGGCTCAAAATAGAAATACTTTCTTTTAAAAAATCTATAACAACTGCTCCTGGAAACTTAAGTAATCCTTATGCCAAGCCCTTCTCCCATTTCATGTTAAGCTCAGATAAAGTTTTGTGAAGCATTTCAGGAATTCAGAAAAAGAACTGGCTGAATCTTAGAAAACCTAAGACTAAAATACTAGAAAACAATTATACATACAAACTGGCTTGCTGTCAACTTAAAAGAATATGCATCTTGTTTAAAAACATATATTTATAATGATATATGTCCTTAAAAGATAGCGTGCTGTCAAAACAGCACCTATTCTGAAAATTAAAATATAAGGAAGAGCTGTATTCGCCTTTAAAATATGAGAATTTAATATTTCCCAACTCACTTTTCCCGTCCTTCCCCAACGGCAGCAAGTCTCTTGCTGTCTTCGGTCCATGCAATGTCTTTTATTTTTCCTGCAAATGGCTGATACTCATACTTCAAGAGATGTTCTTTCTGGGTGGTATCCCAAATTTTAAGTTTTCCGGAGATATCTGTCACAGCACAACAATATATAGTCACTGTTCTAGTGCAGCAGATCAAATTTAACACCCAAGTTTTCATTTATCCTTGAAATAAATTAAAGAACTTGCCACTGTGTACATTAAAAATACTAAAATGTTATACAAATAATAGTTGATGGATGGTGTCCATAAAGTTCTGGAACAAAACTATTCAAGAGTTTGGGCTGCTGATTACTATATCTGAAGTGTTAGAAATAATAACCACATTGAGTGCTTTTTTTAATGAAATGGCAGAACACAAATGTAATGAACAAAATGTTCATAACATTTGTAATATCTGTGATGTTTATACAGTATGCTTATTTTCTGTGATTTTTAAAATCCTGCTTATATGTATTTATTTTTAAAAACCTATGAGAAAACAATCAATAAAAATCCAGGAAAGCTACTTTATGACCACCACATTCACCTTTCTATCTTTAAGACTTTGTAGCATGTAACAGAAATATGCAATGAACACAATGCACAAAAGTAAAGTATTTATGTTGACTACGCAACAGATGGTACCCTGTTTCCCCAAAAATATGACTCAACCTGAAAATAAGCCCTAGTATGATTTTTCAGGGTGCTTGTAACATAAGTCCTACCCCAAAAATAAGCCCAGTTAAGTGAAACTCCACCCTCCACCATTATGCAACAATCAGAAGATGGCATGACAACAATCAGAAGATTGAATAAATGTAGATTGTTGTACATGAAAAAGTAAAACATTCCCTGAAAATAAGCCCTAATGCATTTTTGGAGCAAAAATTAATATGATGTATTTTTCCATTTATAAGATGAGCCAGTATATAAGACACCCCCCTTTTCTAATGCCAAATTAGAATATTTGATGCATGCTTTTCGCTTCCTTTTGCTAAGCCACAGAGCTTAGCAAAAGGAAGGGGAAAGCAGGGATCAAAGGGCTCCCTTGGACCACGGTTTTTCCTTGCCTTTTGCGAAGCCATGGGGCTTAGCAAAAAGGAAGGGAAGGCTCCCTTCGGGTAAAGCAGCGATGAAAGGGCTTCAGGACCAAAGGGCTGTGATTGTGCAGCTCCCTTCATGGCTTCTTTACCCAAAGGGAGCCTTCCCTTCCTTTTGCTAAGGCTTTGCAAAAGGCAGGCAAAAGCGGCTGCCTTCCATATATAAAATGACCCTCAATTTTAAAGGAAAAAGTGTTATTTTATACATGGAAAAATATGGTAAGACCCTGTCTTATTTTTAGGGAAACACTGTATATTGGACTACACATGAAAGGTCTGCAAAAAGAGGGATATTTTCAATATATCTCTGAAACTAAAAATTGTTGGGGCACACCAAATTTCAGAGGGGACACAATAGATGCCACAATGCTAAAAGTCCTGCTCTGAGCCACAGCAGAGGGCTTTAGGAATATGAGTGAGATGCAAAGGAAGAAGGCAGTCTGCAAGGTAACCAGGTGCCAAGTAACATGTTTAATTGCCTTCCTGGATTTATAATCTATTAGATTTCTACTTACTCAATGGAGACCAAGGCAACTTGTAAAACCTAGACTTGCATCTCTCTTACTGTAAAGACTTTTGAAATCTAAGGACATGGTCACTTTTTAAGGTAGCTATAAAGATCCTGTATGAACAGGAATGTCATCTAAATTTCATCCAGTATTTGGAGCAGAGTCAAGAAAGCCTGACTTTACCTACAAAATTGCTTTTACCTTTAAGACTTTGTAGCATGGACATATGCTAACAGAAAACAAATCCTCTTTATGTACCAATTTTTCCCAAGAGTGGGGACTCAGGTGGAGGGACTCACTGTCAAGCAGTGTCCCTTGAGCCACACTGGTGATTCTACTCGGACTCAACTCACTTTTTTTTAAAAGACTCAGATTTGACTTGTGACTTGGAACCTCCCCATCCCCTCCTTTTTTTCTGGGGGAAAAAACTCTTATTTTTAACTCAGAGATTGGTACCAAAGACTCGGACTTGGAACTTGGTCCCAAAGACTTGACAACATCCCTGATTTTGCCTAATTTTAGACAACGTTATATATTGGTGTCATAACATACCTCCAGATGCAATGTAGAAACCACTGGGAGCATACTTGGCAACCACAACTTGATGGGCATGTTCAGTGTAGATGTCAGCAATTGCTGGATTCTATGAGAAATATGTAATATCAAATACAGCTTTTCCAAATAAATGTTCAGAAAAAATCCTTACTTTCTGTTCATAGCCCATATAGCTAGCAAATAATTTTTTTGCCCATCACATTTGGACCATCTCCCATAATTCGTGAGAATTTTCCCCCAGGCAGAATTCTGGGAGATGCGCTCAATAAATCAAAGTCCTCAGAGCAACATGCCACCTTTTATTGTCTCCGCGGCACTGCTGGAGAGTCCCCGAGGCTTCTGGTCCTGGGTGACTTCAGCATCCATGTGGAGGCGGAGGTATCTGGTCCAGCTCTTGAGTTCCTGGAGACTATGGCTTCCTTGAATATGGCCTAACATGTTAATGGTCCTACACACACCGGCGGCCATATGCTAGACCTGATTTTCTCCACCGAGCGTAGTGAGTGTGGTCCGGCGGTGACTGACCTTAAGTCAGTCCCCCTGTCATGGTCGGATCACCACCTAATAAAATGTAACCTCACAATGGCACTCCCCCCCCCCCGCAGGGAGAATGGGTCTATTTTAATGGTCCACCCTCGAAGGTTACTGGATCCATTGAGATACCATGATAGGGATTCCAGCTGCTCTGTCTGGTGGTCTTGTCGAAGCCCTGGTGGACGGTTGGTTTGCCGCTGCCACTAGGGCCGTAGACACAATCGCTCCCAAACGCCCTCTCTGTTGCAGAGCTCGGCCAGGGTCCAGGTATAACCTACTGTGGGATGTTGTGGCGCTGCGGGCTAAACCACAGAAGCCTTTGTGTGCTGCAGGGTCAGAAGACCAGTAGTTGTAAGATCGAATCCATGCGACAGAGTGAGCTGCCGTCGCTTGTCCCACCGCCTGCCAACCTAGCAGTTCGAAAGCATGTAAATGCGAGTAGATAAATAGGTACCATCTCAGTGGGAAGGTAAACAGCGTTCCGGGTCTAAGTCGCGCTGGCTACGTGACAACGGAAACTGTCTTCGGACAAACGCTGGCTCTACGGCTTGGAAACAGGGATGAGCACCGCCTTCTAGAGTCAAACACGACTGACTAAAAATGTCAAGGGGAACCTTTACCTTTATGAGCAATGAAGCGAATCAGGAGATGGCTAGGGTGCATTTGGAGGGAGGAACCGATGGATTATAAGAAGATAGCTGTTAGGACTGCAACTAATCGTTACCTAGCTAAGCTAAGGGCTGCGAAATGATCTCATTTCGCTGACCAGATAAGCGAAGCTTCTAATCAGCAGGCGGAGCTCTTCCGTATAGTTCGCAGTCTATTCGGAATTGGTCTGGGTGATAGGCCTCCCACTAATATCTCACCTGACCAATTTGCAGCATTTTTAAAATTAAAAGTGGAGAACATCCACCGTGACCCCTCTCCTTTCTTAAATACAATGTATCGAGCAGAGATGTCCAGCGCTCCACCTTGCCCGGTAATCCTTGACTTCTTTCAGCCTGTGATACCAGATTTAGTGGACAAAGCGCTTGATCGCTTTCGGGTCACCACCTCCTCCCTTGACCGTTGCCCGGCCTGGCTAATTAAAGCAGCCAGGCCAGTAACAACAGAATGGGCCACCACAATAATTAATGGGTTTCTCCAGGAGGGCAAGGTCCCCATTGCCCTCAAGGAGACACTCATTAGGCCCATCAGGAAGAAACTAAGTTTGGCGGCAGATGACATTGGAAATTATAGGCCCGTCGCCAATGTTTCCTTCCTAAGCAAAGTGGTGGAGAGGGTGGTGGCAGACTAGCTACAGGCGCTTTTGGACAAAACCAATGCCCTGGACCCATTTCAGTCAGGCTTCAGGCTATGGTACGGAAACGGCACGGGTCGCACTGCTGGATGACCTGTTGAGGGAGGCCGATAGGGGCAATATGTCCTTGTTGGTCCTCCTCGACATCTCAGCTGCCTTCGATGCCGTCGACCATGGTATCCTCCTGGGGAGGCTCTCTGAGTTGGGTATCGGTGGCCTGGTGCTTGCCTGGCTCCGAACCTTCTTGGAGGACCATCCCCAGAGAGTACAGCTTGGCAAGAATGTTTCAACCCCATGGAGCCTCAATTGTGGAGTTCCGCAGGGGTCGACCATCTCTCCAATGCTGTTTAACATCTACATGAGGCCGCTGAGAGGGGTCATCAAGGGGGTGTGGGGCACTGTGTCATCAGTACGCTGATGACACACAGCTCTACATCTCCTTTACACCAACTTCAGTGGATGCCGTCCGGTCCCTCCAGCGCTGCCTGGAGACTGTACTGGAATGGATACAGTCAAATGGATTGAGGCTGAACCCGGACAAGACAGAGGTCTTGAGGGTGGGTGGTCCTTCCATCAGCGGTTTGGTGACTCCATTTCTTTTGGGGGGTCAACCCTCACCGCAAAGAGCATGGTTCGCAGCTTGGGGATACATCTGGACCCGGCGCTTATCATGGAAACCCAGGTAACGTCCGTGGTCCGTTCCGCCTATTTTCACCTGTGGCAGATTGCCCAGCTGCGACCATATCTTGATGAGGGAGCCCTCACTACTCTTGTCCATGTGAGATTACACCATTGTAATGCACTCTACGTGGGGCTGCCTTTGGGATTGATGCGGAAACTCCAAATGGTGCAAAATGCGGCAGCCAGGCTCCTTAGTGGGGTGAGGAAATATCAGCATATCTCCCCCACCCTGGCTGCTTTGCACTGGTTGCCCATTTGTTTCCGCATTATTTCAAAGTTTTAATGATGATGTATAAAGCCCTAAACGGTTTGGGACCTCGATACCTGGCAGATTGCCTTCTCCCACCCAGGTCTACTTGAATCACCCAACAAAGCCAGCAGGGATGGCTGAGGGGCCTTGCACTGAGAGAGGCCCGGAAGGAAAGAACAAGAAACTGGGCCTTCTCGGCAGTGGCCCCTCGGTTGTGGAATACTTTACCAATGGAAATCCGCCTGGCTCCCTCGCTGGGCGTTTTTTTAAAATCCATTTAAAAACTTTGCTCTTTAGGCAGGCCTTCCCTCCAGTAAATTAATTGATCTGTGTTTTTCAATTATCCCATCTTGATAATGTATATATGCATCAGTTAGTAGGTTTTTATAATGCATTATTATGTATGTTATTCTATTATATTTTATCACCTATGTAATAATAAATAATATTTTATTATATTTGATCACTTATCACCCAAGTAGACTTTGTCTAGAGGGGCGGGGTATAAGTCTAAATAAAGTAAAGTAAAAGTAAAGTTATATACAGTGTCTCTGGTCAGCTCATTCCAACAAGGAAGAAACTTGTGGTAGTCTTTGGATGTCACAACATGGGACCACAAGGGCTCACAGGACAGTAGTTTTTTTGGGAGCGGCCTGATATAGAGTCATTGGCAATGAGATTACTTGTCCCAAGAAGCACTCCCAAGAAATACCGAAGCAGTTTCCCACATGCTAAAATGAGCAAAATGGTACCTATAGACACTTTATATAACTAAAGATAGCTGTTCTGGGAACTTTAATTTTTCAGCTGCATCTCCCAGAATTGGAGCAATTCCTGGCAGAGAGGTGCACTTCAAAAGAAATGAAGGCACAATCCCCCAAAGAAACTTCGGTTTAAAAGAAAATGTTGAAGTCCACAGTGAATACAAGAAGTGAACTCCAATCTTTGACTCTCTAAAGGAAAATGACCTTGAAGCCCACTAACACAATGAGACTTCCTCTCCTAAATCCAGATCAACCAAACTGGCCTAGTAAAGCTTATGTACTTATAGAGCTCGCCTACAAAGCTACTATACCGACAGACACTATCAATGCCTGTTTACTTCTACACCATTAGTGATACACTGAAGTAGCTAATAGAATTATGTTATAGTATTTTTATTTTTTTGAGAAAAAGGCCTAAACTCGAAGTCTTTGAGGCTTGGACTAAGCCTAGTTGTACTCAAATTTCCCGTTCCTGTCTGAAGCTGGGAGCTTTCTTTCTGAACAGGAAAGCTAGGCAGAGCTAGACCTAGCTAAGTCCCAAAGTGTTCTAGTTTAGGTCGTTTCTCCCAGTTGAGCCACATTTAAGTGTCTATAAGGCATGTTTATGTCAGGGAGAACTTCCGGAATGGGCAGTTACAGGATTTACAGTTCAACAAACCTGAAAATCTTAATGCATACTACAAAATGTTCTTCACAGTTAGTGTGTTGCTCGAAGTTTTACTCCCAGAAAACAAATTCCAGGATCGAGCCTGTCTCACTAAAGCAATGGCTTCCAGCCTTGTGTTCTGAGATGTTCTTGGCTAAAACTCCCAGAAGCCTTCACCGTTAGCTGTGCTAGCCAAGATTTCTGGCAGTTGTAGTCCAAGAACATATGGATTTCAAGGTTGAGAAGAACTGCACTGATTTTCACTCCATAATTGCCACTTTAAGTTATTTATTTGGATAACAAGCACAGGCAAGAACTTCATGCTTTCAGAAGGTGGCTGGACTGAGACGGACACTGCATTCAGACTCTTTGAATCAAACTACTGTAATTTGAGATCCTGCTTGCACAATGCTCTAAGCACTCATAGCCCAACACATACAGGTTTCAAAGAAACAGAGACTGAAGAGCTCATAAGGACTGAGCTCCACATGTCAGGGCCCTTGCATAAACTAGACCTCAAACAGTGTCACAAACACTATGTCCCACCTCTGCCATCAACTGTAATCCATCATAATAAAGATGACTGCTCATCATGTTTTCCAGGCAAAGTAAATTAGAAACATAATGATCACAATACAAATAATAGAGAGCTACTAAAATGGAGGAACTACTAATCTCATCTACGATTAAAATAGTTATCATTGGTGGCTAGAAATTATGTATACTTGCTGAAATATCCAGATGGATAGCCATAAGATAAACACATACACATATGCATGGTTGATATCCTGTGTTTGCACGATAGATGCCATCTTTTGTATTTTATCTGTGATGAATGGAACCATCTATATATGAATGAATCAATAGGCACAAATGCAACTTCACAAATACAGTGGTGCCTCGCATAGCGATT